CTTGTGCTCTTATTATTTTAGTTATTTTGCCTTTAATGTAAATAAACATGTGCAAACAATATACTTGCTCTTGTAAATTTATTTTGATGTTAATTACATTGTGCGAGCTGCCTCTTTAATACCGCGTTGTTTATATACATGCTGCTGCTGATTGGGCTGACATTTTTTGACACACCCACCATACAAGAGAAAACGTATCTCAAACCCCGTTGCACACCGTTTCCAGGAAACATGTCGTTCAACCCGGAAACCGTAGCAAAACGGTGCACATCGGGTTGAGCTTGAACTTGCCCCTGGTTTGATCATCACCATCAAACTGTGGGCTCAGGAATAACCTGCATATCATCATAAGGATTCCGCTGTCATTTCTGCAATAACCCACGTGCATATCCCCCTCACCACAATAACTTCCTCTGACGTTATTCCAACCAGGAAATGTAGTTTTTCATTGCTCACGTCTTTAGCACTGTAACCTATCAGTCCCATTTAAATTTTAACCATTCATGTTGTAGCTGAATTAAATTCAGATGAATCCAGAGAGCATATTATCTGTCATCTCCTACGTTATTTTTTTTTCTTACGCTGATGAAGAGTAGGTGCTGCTGAACTTTATTTCCCATGATCCCGTGCGGTTTTGCCTCTGCTCGCGCGCACGCAGCATGTCAACAAACACCAAAGTCAAACTGCAGTGAATCCGGGACGCAACAGATATCACAGTATGATCGGTAAGCATTTATTTATCAGCAGATTCCTATGGCTGTCCGTATGCTATGCAAAGTATGTCTTTATTTCCTGTTGGAACTGATTTCACACTGGTGAAGTAGCGTAGTTTGACATTGTCCCTTGTACCTTCACATCACAGCTCAGTTCGGCCGGTCTTAAAATGATCGCGTTATTAATTGTATTAAAAATTGTGAGGCATATCCATATAAAATACAGTACAATGCATCTCAGTGTACAGCTGTAAAAAAAAAAAAACGGAGCTTCAGGTTTCGATCAATTAGAAAAATGTACAATTAATAAATTAAAAAGAAATGTAAAGGGTGTGTTGACAAATAACATTTGAACCTTTTCACTATTTTTGATTTTATAATAATAATAATAATGGGAGTTAATTGTCACACTATTTTTTAAATTCAGGGTGGGTTTATATTTAAAACAGGTATGAAACAATTTATGAAACAGCAAAAATTAGAATGTAAAGTCCAAAAATACTGTGAATAATTAATTGTATAATTGTGTTTAAACACTCAACAAATGCCCCAGTTAAAGGGTACATCGGGTGCAAAATTCACCTTTACATGGTGTTTGCATATAATATGTCTTCGAGTGTGAACACAACCACACTACAAATGATAAAAATCCATTCACTCCTTTTTTTTAATCCCCAAAAAACCTCAAGCCGTTTTGATTTTTCTGAGCAATATGATGTCAAATTGCACAGACCCCGCCCATGGCTGCTGACGGACAGTCCCGTCATAGATATGCATAGCTAGATTCCCTATTATCAGCTGTTTCCATCGGCCGCTATTTGTAAGCCGTCCACCATATTGGAATGTCAAAGCTGGTCCATGAACGCTTGAGAGCAATGCCGGTGCATCTGCACTGCAACTGTAGTTATATGCATGTATGAATCACTATCATCCCAAACCTCCTCCTGCCCAAACTAACTCAGCTCTCCGTGCCCACCTTTGAAGCTTCTGTCACGAAAACAAATTCCTCGTATGTGTAAACATACCTGGCAATAAAGCTCATTCTGATTCTGAATATCTATATCTTCAGTAGACTTCAGAAGATGCTTTTGCTAATCCAACACAATACAGCAAGACGAAGCCGTTAGCAAACAAGGCATTTAAAAGGTACTTTAGTTTAAAAACCTGTAATATTGTGTTAATACATATTAAAAACACAAACCAAAACATTCTTATCTGTGAAAGGTTATCCAGTTTCTTCAGGAATTAAAATTGAGGTGGTTTTTACAACAAGATGCTGCGCAATGTTGTTGCATCTTGAAACTCATTGATTTTTAGGCCCCGTCCACACGGAGACGCGTTTAGCTGTATACTAGCTGATGCTTTTTAAAAAATTTTTTTTACTCCAGCGATTCCTTAAAGAGATTCTGACTTCAAGTCAGGAATTCAGTGTGCATCAGCAACTGAAGGTGAACTATCCCTTTTAAGGGGTAAAGTGTCTGTCTCAAAAGCACAATGGTTATAGTTCATGTTAAGATCATAATGTTAATGTTAAGTTCACCCAAAAATGAAAAATTTGTAATCATTTACTGAACTCTTGTTTCTGTGAAATACAAAAGGGGACATTTAACACGTCTGACCTTCTTTCATCCATACATGCCAATGGTGGTTTATAATGTCTTGCTTCAAAAATGACAAAAAGCACCATAAAAGTATCATAACATTAGTCCATACAAAACATTACTTAAAGGGTTAGTTCACCCAAAAATGAAAAATCTGTAATTAATTACACACCCTCGTATTGTTCGAAACCCGTAAGACCTTCGTTCATCTTCAGGTGGTTCAACTGTAAAGTTACAAAGCTAGGAGAATACTTTTTTTCGCAAAGAAAACAAAAATAACGACTTTATTCGCGCGTTCACTTCTGTACCATGATGCGAGTGTGTGGCAGCGCTGACCCAGATCCGGCGTAATGACGTCATCCTGCCAGGTCTAGGTCAGCGCTGGCGCCGCCACACGCTCGCGTCATGATACTGTCGTATCATGCCGGGTATTCTCGTAGCTTCGTAACTTTACAGTTGAACCACTGATGTCACACGGACTACTTTGTCGATCATCTTGGTACTTTTCTGGACCTTGAACGTGGTAGTTACCTTGCTGTCTATGGGAGGGTCAGAGAGCCCTCAGATTTCATTCAAAATATCTTAAATTGTGTTCCGAAGATGAACGAAGGTCTTACGGGTTTGGAACAACACGGGGGTGAGTAATTAATGACAGAATTTTCATTTTTGTGTGAACTAACCCTTTAACTTTACTATACAAAACAGTACTGGAAACAAACCTAAATATTTTGTTGTTCACAGTGTTATTTATTTATATACTATTATAGTATTTATTCATACTTAGAATTATATTTTATTTTTATAATTGTTAATATTCATTTTAATTTAAAGTTTTAGTATTTTTTGTTTTTGTCATTATTATTATTATTTTTTTAAATATATTTCTACTTAGCTTAAATTTTTTTTATTTGTAGTTTTAGTCATTTTAATATGGAAACTTCAACTTATTGTATTTCATTTAGTTGCCAAGACAACATTTCTTATATTCAAGTTTTTTTATTTAACATTTATATTTTATTTCAGCTTTATTTCAGTGAACAAAAATTATTCTTAATCGTTTTAGTTAACAGTGTTAATAATTCTCCTCCTCCTCCACAATAGCTCTCAAATCTTATTTGCGGTGATGTATATTCAAACTTGCTGTGTTACGATAGGTCATGTGACGCCTGAGAACTGATGGCATTTTGGCAGTGACTTTTGTGGTGCCTTGGTCGTACAAATTTGTTTATGTGTCCTTTTTGGCAACATAAATCACCACATCTTATTTTGTGTTTCACAGAATGAAGTAAATAGTATGTGGAGAAAGAAAGGTCATATGAAGTCTTTAATGTAGTAGAAATTTTGGCTTTTAAAATGGCATAGATTTTCCCAAACAGAATGATTTTGAATAACTATGTATTTTTTTTACGGTAAAAATAAGATATAATAATGGAATCCACTTGATGACACACTATATCATTTTCATGACCTGTTGTGTGAACCGGTTGCTAAGTTCCCAGGCTTCGCTGTTTCTCTCTCCGAGGCTTGCTGAGAGAGGAGAAACGGGAGAGCGGGGCTGCCTTCAGTGAAAGGCGGTCCGCGAGTGGAGAAGAGCGAGACTCATGCTCTGAGTGAGCATTCTGTCTCAGTGAGCACGCAGCTCACTGCCCTTCTGCGGCGGATCCGAGTGCAACGGGGAGAGAGAGCACGCAGGCACAGTGCCGGCATGAGATCGGTCAAACCCGATGAGGAGGTGAGGAGGCTCAGAGTGAAGATGGCGCCGTGTGTATTGGCTAGCCGTCGTTCCGTGTTGTCTATTTTAATGTATTTCGTTTTATTTTTATGTCTTATTAGCCCTAACTACTCTCTCTGGACTTATGACTGCAAATCTTTGCTTCACATTCGTGCAGTGATGGACGATCTCACTCGGAGTGGAAAGTGTTGTTTTCACCCGCTATTCATGCCGTCTATGTCAGTGGACCCTTGGCTCGGCCTAGAGTGTGGGTACCGGCGAACTCGGCGGTTTCGGAGCAATCGCCGTCGGAAGCGTGGCAGACGGGTGGGTTTCGCTGTGAAAGCTAGAGCGTCATGGATGTCGGAGAGACGCCTGTTGACCTCGGGAGACTTTTCGAGTGAGAGCTTCTCCTGTTTGCGTCCAGTTTGCCCGTACTTTTGGATACCATCGTTGCGGGCTGTGACTCAGCGACACAAAGTTTCGAGAGGAGTAAATATTAACAATTTGTGTTATATCGAGTCGGCTGTGGTTTCGGTTGGAGCGTCATTGTCTACGCTGGAGTCTGGTACAGTAAATATGGCATTGGTTAATGCAAGATCACTCTTAAACAAAACGTTTATTTTAAATGACTTTTTTATACAACATGATTTGGACTTTCTGTTTATTTCTGAAACATGGCTTAATGTTGGCGACACACACGCCCTGATTGAACTTTCTCCATATGACTGTACATTTTTTAGCACCCCTAGAACTACTGGCCGGGGTGGCGGACTTGCATGTGTTTTTAAGAAGGGATTTAAATGCCGTTTTTTGTCAAAGGTGAACTATCAGAGCTTTGAGGCTCAAGTGATGATGTATGACGGCTGGACATCTGTTTTGTGTGTGTTGGTCTATAGACCACCGAAATATAACAAGGATTTCATTCAGCAGTCTTCTGAGTTTTTATCACATATTGTGCCAAGTTGTGATAACATTTTAATTCTTGGGGACTTCAATATTCATGGGTGTTGTCCTAATAAGCCTATGGTCTCTGAGTTTTTACAGCTGGTGGACTCTTTTAATTTCACACAGTTTATTTCAAATCACCCATGAGAGCAAGGCCATATTTAATTTAGGATACATGTAATTTAGATGTTTTAAATTATGGTCTGTCTGATCACATGCCTGTAATTTTTAATGTTATTATGCCATGCAAACCAGTTTTGCCACAGTCAGGTGTGTTTTGTTCTCGTCTTATTACTTCATCCACGGCGGTAGAATTTTCTGAGGTATATAATTCCTCTTCATTTGTGAATGTGATTGAGTCTCCTTCTCCTTCTGTGGGCCCAGATGAGCTGTTGATATTGTTCAATTCTGTTTGCTCCGATATCTTAGATGTAGTGGCCCCATATAAAGTTAGGAAACCTAAACTTAATCCAACTCCATGGCTTAACAACTATACTTGTTCTCTGAGGCAGGAATGCAGGAAGGCTGAACGGAAATGGAGAAAGGATAAGCTACAGGTTTCACTTCAATTTATGAGGCAGTGTTTTTCAGACTACCAGGCTGCTGTGAGAACTGCTAGGCAAAATGATTTCTCAAGTGTCATTGCACAGAATTGTAATGCCCCTGCAGCCCTTTTCTCAACAATTAATAGACTTCTCAATCCGAATGGATGTTCTACCTTGACCCCCTCATTGGAGGTATGTGAAATGTCT